TGTCTCCGACGACTATAGGAATACTCTTCATGAACTTTCCCTCCAATATATTGTACAGCCTTAATGTAACTAATTACCTGCATTATTCTTGAGGTCAGACATCCAGGAATTTTGCCCTCTCACAATCCAATGTCAACATAGCAACAAAGGCAAAGGGGCAAACAAATAGTGCAATAAATTTAAGATTTTATTCATTCTGTACATTTACCCACATCTACACTCGTATTTGTAATGACTATTGTGTTTGTGACAAACTTTTTTGTTCCAAACTTGGAAATATGCTGAAGAGTTGTTAGGTATTCAATTGCACCAATAACAAGTCAAAAAGACCTGAACTTTCCTTCTATTTTACACCAAGTCAAGTTACTGAAAAGGAGAAGCCAAGGCCAGCCAGGTCGAACAACAAGAAGGAACACTGTCGACAAAATACTCCAACAAATGGGCCTTAACAGGGCCAGGCAGAGATCTATAAATCCAAGTACCAAGATTTGAACAAATGAATGAAAAGAGAAGAATGCTGTGGCTGAAAGCTATTAACCCACAAAACAGAGGAAGCAAAAAAAAAACTATGGGAGCCAAAGTCTGACTATAACTATGTGTGTTCAGCTACTTTTATATCATGTAAATGTTGTCTTCAGATTTATTTATTTTTTTTAACACAGGGTAATTGTACATGTCTGGGTACTGCACATTGGGCCATTCTGTTGGGTCATTGATCCATGATCAGCAGTGCTGGTTGGGACAAGAATCAAACCCAATTAATTGTAACTTTACTCAATATCTCGCTAATGCCTCGGCAGACATCTTCTCCATGTATTGATAAGACACTGCAATTGATAATTTGTCTATCAAACATTAATTTATGAATGATAATTGAAAAATTTGCACAGCAGCTTCAGCAGTAACACGTGTAAAAAGTAGACCTATATAAATTGTGTACACACAGCTGCACTCACTTCACTATTGTTTGTCCCTTTGTCAAGATGCCGATCTCTTTATCAGGCAAAATCACATGACTGTGACATCACACCAACCTCAAGAATGTTATAGGCTTGAGTAGGAGGTACTTGTAGGTATTCAGATTTATATTTTGACAAGTTGTGTATGAAAAACATAAAAAGTCTAACTACAGAATAATGGGTATCAAATTCAAATGAATTGTTTGTATCTTGAAGTTTACAAAATAAATAAGACTATGTCAAAACATAAAACTTGTAATTTTTTCAATGTATAATGCAGATGACTTTTTTTTAATTTGACAATTTGTGTCAGAAGTACATATATTTCCAAAAAACTGTCAAAAGGTGTTAATCCTCTTATAAAAGTAATTATAAAAAGTTATAATAAAAGCTGCTGTAGACAGGATTATTTTGTACTATCTGCATTCTTGCCTATTAGTAACTGGATGTCAGTAGCATCTTACATAAATATGATCACGTTCACTTACATCCAAGTAATTTGAGAGGGGTTCTGGAAATGGTCCATTGCCTTTCAAATGCAGCTTTGGTTGAAAAACTTTGTAAGGTGTTTCAAAATTCCGAAGCTGATTTCGAACAGAATCAACATGATATAGGGGTATCCTGTAAAGATATATATATATATATATATATAATCTACCTTGTTTTCAATACGTTTCGACAGATTTTTAATCATTTAATGCTAAATCAAATTGTGAGTGATAATATGTTTTACTGATAAACATGTAGCACCTTACTAGTAATCTGATATTATTTATGCACATTATTTTCTACATTCTTACTGATTATAATTTGTCAGAACAGATTAAAACCACCATACTGATTTTCTACATTTCAAACTTGTATCAGATACAAATGTGTAAATATTTGTTGATAACACTTATGTTTTTCAAACAACAACAAAAAAGTACTTAGTAGACACCGAGTACCAGTATCTTAATTTTTGAAAAGCTGTTGATTACTTATGTCCATCAAAGAGTCTACCTTGAGAACTCCCATTTCTATTAATTACAATACTTAGGTGGCTCCTTGAACAGAAATATTCTTAAATTTTCTGAGGGCACTAAGATACTGGGAAATGTGGATTCTTGATAAATGCTTTATAAATCAGAGTTTGTATAGACTTAGAATAAGCAAAGCCATGAAAAAAGTTTGGGTGTTAAGAGGTATAAAGAGATGCACTTGGAGAGTTCAAAAATTTATAACAAAACTCTGATCTTGTGTAAAAGAAACTTTGGTGTTGTAGAAGAAAAGAAATAAACTGCAATAATTGATAAGTGGTTAAAACTTGTGGCTACCCTGAGAAAAAAGCTAATAATTTCTGTAACATATTTACAAGATTCTTGAAATTAAGGATGAGGAAAGGTTATAATATTATATAGAATTCGGGTGAGGTTACTTTCAAGATGGTGTTTTTCCAGTTTTGGTCCCCTTATTAAAGGAAAGATATCAACATGCTATACCATGTGAAGAGAAAAGGAACTAAAATAACTCTCAATTTCTTTAAACTTTTTTTTAATCTGAAGTGTATGAATAATTTAGCAGGCAAAATTCAGTTACTTTAAATTGTTAGGGGCTTTGGTAAACTTCCTTTGGGAGATACATTTAATGGTGGAAGCTCAGATTCAAATGTATTCTTTATCAGAGTTAACTGATAGTGACCATTGAAATACATTCAAAATATTTATTGAACAGAAACCTCTACAAATGTGTTGAATGCAAAGGGCTAATCCTCTCATAGAAAAAGTTAAAAAATATATACAATAGTTACAATGTTGGTTGAACATATGTGAATATACATTTCAGCTCCTGCAATATACATATAAGCCTGAAAAGTATTTTCATTCATCAAAATAATATATGCCATTCAACTATTTCATGAAGTTACGTATTTATTTCTCCTGCAACATTTACTTCACTGTTTCACACTGCTACATTCCATTCAAACATTTTGTATGTAATAATGTTAACACCATATGTAGACATTCACGATGTCAGAAAAACACATAGATTCAATAAGTCTTAATATAAAATGATAAAAACTCTGTAACCCGAGCACTTTCAAAAGTTTTACAATATGTATACATATATATACAGTTTCTCAACTCTGTAGAAGGGTGTCATTCAATCTTGTATAGCTGGGGAAATTATAATACAGTAATTTTTAAGCCATTTGTCACACAAGAGATAAAGATATATATCAGATCTATAAAGGCAAAACCTTGTGACCTTTAGAACAGGCAGATGGTAAACCAAACTATTTATGTAGATAAATGAATCAGCAGTTAGTCTAGTGTACTGTGTTATTAGGACAAGAGGTTGAAATATTGTTTTGTTAGATGCTTGCATAAGGTGATACTGTACTGCTCAAAATGGGGTGGTTTTATACTTGAAACTTGGTCATTCTTGCACAAAAATACCAAAATACACTTAGGCCATGCATGTGTTATGCACATATCAAATAAAACTGTTCAATTCAAAGTCAAGGGGCCTTACAAACTTTAAAATTGCCAACAAGGGGAAAGAATGGCAATTACAATTTATTTGAACTAAAGTAAAGAGTGGTTGCACTATTCTGTTAAGTTAACAATATCAATCAGCCAGAATCATAACTACAATTATAATTCATGAGAAAATAAACATAGAGGGTTCAATAACTTTTAATGCGGGGGGGGGGCGGCATCTTTTGTAGTTACGCCACTGCACGTAAATATATACTACTACTGATACCAGTAGTATATATATATGTTCATGATTACTTTTTGAATACTAGTTCTCTATAATTACTAAACCTATCCAAATCATCTGTAATTATTCTATTATGTTGCATTTGCGGTAAACTTGTATATTTTGCCTTATGGCACTATTACTTTCACTGTCAATAACATTAACAGTATACTGTACAATATGAAACTATAAAGTATAATTCAAAAATAACATTGATGATGATATTGATAAAATTAAAAGCCTCAATTATCAATAAAATAAATAAACACTTACCGTTTCAAACTGTCTACAAACAGGAACAACGAAATCAAAATTATATAAAGTTGATAAACGTTTGTTAGTCTTTTCATGATTGTAACCAGTTTTATTTTTAAAATAAATATTATCTTTATAAGATCGTAACACAATAACTTCTTATACAAATAGAAGTTAGAAGAGCATTCCTTTATTTATTACTTTTCAGCTCACATGATCACACGACCTGCACTCACAATCACATGATCATTAACCTCACTACACTAGCGCCACTTCAAATAACATGACTTATTGTCACGCGCTCGTTACTTTTAACTTGTTGCTCCCAAGAATGATACGAAAGTTAAAACAGCTTATAGTTTTTTCTTTATACTGTAACAACTTTTTTATCAAGTTTTTAATTTCATAACCCTTATGTCATTATCGAAAGTTTCCTAAAATAATTCAAGTTTCTGTGTAAATTCTTCAATTTGTAACTATAAAATTGGATTAGTTTGAGAACTACAAAAACTTTACTTATTAAGAATTCAGATTGAGTAATTTATTGAAAATACAGTTACAAATCACTTACTATAACTGCCATAATTCAACAAAAGACTGTTACGACAGCGGGGCCCGGCATGGCCAGGTGGTTAAGGCACTCGACTCGCAATCTGAGGGTCGCGGGTTCAAATCCCTGTCACACCAAACATGCTTGCCCTTTCAGCCGTGTGGGCGTTATAATGTTACGGTCAATCCCACTATTCGTTGGTAAAAGAGTAGCCCAAGAGTTGGCGGTGGGTGGTGATGACTAGCTGCCTTCCCTCTAGTCTTACACTGCTAAATTATGGACGGCTAGCGCAGATAGCCCTCGTGTAGCTTTGCGCGAAATTCAAAACAAACAAACAATACGACAGCGGAAGTCACGCGACGCTGGGAGCATGCGCGCTGGAGTTTCTAGAAGGATCATGACTTATCGGGCAACCTCACGAATATCCCAGCGTTTGCTAGACGCCCTCTTTTTTAGTATATAAGCCGGAAATAGATTGAAGAAACATAATTGATAATTGAGTCAAGCGAGCAGTAGGCACCGTAAGTAAAGTGTGTGAATCGCTGTGAATTATAGTGTGTGTGTGTGTTTATAAAAGTAGTTAAGGTTAAAGTGACTGTGGAAATTAAGTGTATTACAAAGTCTATAACGAGAAAGAATAAACTAGTTTTAATCAAGAAGGGACTTGTATCGCTGAAGTCACTTGGAAAGAATTTTTACCGAAAATTATCAAAGAAGCAGATATGCAACAAGACCTTGCTGAAGCATCGCATAATGATTTAAAGCAGATTGCTCACTTTCTTTACACGTTAAATTACACTATCTCCCAGAGTTAAAGTCATTGCCAAGTCTAAAAAAATGACGATATCTGCATATATTAAAACAGTCACTTAGCTCAGTAGATATTTGACTTGACTACATAATTCTTTAGTTCACTTTTTGGAAAAAAAAAATATTTGTTAATAGTTTAATTTCTATATTTTCTTTTGTACTGTCACAGTTGGAATAACTGTTAATTTCACCCTCTTATAACTAGTATAAAATATACCTATATCTGTGTATATGTCATCATCTCTACTCTTTGGGTACTTTAGTACTTCTCTAAACAAAACAATGACCAATTTGTCAAAAATTCTTGCATAAAGTGTACACAAGTCCATTGATTGGCCTTTAAAAATACTGTTACGTCTCTGTGTTCGTTTGTTAATTTTCCGTATAATTTATTTCCCACTAGTTTAATCTTTCTCAATTCAACTTTACAATACACTGAATTTCCACAGCCTCTTTAAATTAAACACACGCTATAATTCACAATGAACGATTCATGTGCTTTAGCTACGTCACTACCGCGCTTGACTCAATTGTCTGTCTCTATATCTGCCTGTCTGCAATTCAATTCCGATTAATTGCCTGGCGCACTTATGTACAATAATATAGGGCGCCTAGCAAATACTGGATTATTCGTGATGTTCCCCGATCTTTCTAGAACTCATTACGTGTTACCAGCGTCACGTGACTTCCGCTGTCGTAACACTGCCCCTTCCTTAGTATTGTTCGTCACGAACAATAGCCATTTACATTAAACCAATAGAAAATTAACAATAACTTAATTCAATGTACAGAATTTACAAACACAAAATTAAAATTCAACAAAGTCTCTTAATTTTACGGGATGTATCTTCTTCCGTACTGGTCTCCACCTCGTTGGCTTCTGCTGCACGTGAGGTTCATATGGGCCTTCCCATGGAGAAGACAACTTAGGACACTTCCCTTTGGTGTTTCTGAGATTATACAACCACACCTTGTCTCCGGGTACAAAGCTGACTTCAGAAGACTTCTTATCATAACATAGCTTCATCGAATCAGCAGACGTTTTCAAGTTTGAACACACTTGATGGTGAATATTATCCATCTTTTCCGATAACACTTTCACGAACTCTGACACATTTTCAGGTAACTCTTCGTAAGGTAGGCGTCCCATTAACAAATCAACTGGCAACAGAAGTTCCCGACCAAACATCAACTTTGCTGGAGTGTATCCAGTGGCTTCATGCTCTGCTGTTCTATAGTTGTATCTTTCTACCATCCCATCAGACTGTGGGTGAAGTGGCGTTGTTCTGGTCTTTGTTTCACGGTGTTAGTTTGTGGAATTAAAAAAATGGAAACACCTCTATAAATTATATAAAAAATAAAAAACTCGAACAGGACAAATTAATGAACTGCTGAAATGGAATTATAAAAAACTGAATTCAACTGAAATGAAATATAAAACACCAAAGTTGAAACATTCTGTTTGATAGGAAAGCAAAGGGAAGCATAACAAGTTTTGGGCTTGGACCTTCTTCTATCTATTCTGGAAACAAAGTAAAAGTATGGCATTCAGGTTCATTGATATCCATCAGATAAGTTTAAAGTTTCTACAGAATGCAGGTTCCAGAAAGTAGTGAACAGAATAAATCGAACAGGAACAGTAAAGGAAAATATACAAATCCCAGTGAAACATAAACAAAATTTGATTCATTAAATAGCGTTGTGGATTTACCAAACGGGCCAGTTTTTATTTGTTTGTACTCAAACTGGCTGCTGGGGCTGGAATGATTTTCCTAACGTCTGAGTTCCCTGGTGGGGCAGTGGTAAGTTTTGGATTTAAAACGATGAAATCCAAGTTTCGATTCCCCGTGGTAGACATAGCAACTAGCCCAGTGTGGTTTTGATCTAAAACAAACAAGCAAACCTAACGTCTGCACGGAACAGAGATAGGATTAAACCAAGATCAAGAATAGTATGGTTATCCCACTTTTATAGTTGGGCAGAAACCTTAGTGTAGAATCCCACAATTCATTGGGTTACACACTTGATACTAGTCAACAAACAATTCTAATCGTCCCAAGCCAGTCTGCACAAGTTTTTGTTTTACCTGGTTTTAATAGACAAACTTCCTAAAAGTCCATATAGAAACACGTACATGCTAGCTTGAGACTTAAGTTGTAGCATACAACTTTACCTGCACATGTTTACGACCTCTGGGAATCTAACGTACAAGCATGCGATCACTACTTAAGAACTACATGTACATTTAGCAAATTATCTGACAATACCTAAATAATGACATAGTCTATGTTAACTATATAATTAGTAATTATTTCAGGTCCGACAAAATAAAATTAAGAAACTCTTCCCAACAAATGGTAATACTCTAAGGCTCATCCAGCCACAGTCAGGAAAAATTCCTAAAAATATACTGTCTTGTCACCTATCTGCAAAAACTGTGTTTATGATATAAAAGACTGTTTGGTTTAGGTATTAGTGGTTAATTTATTTTTGTGAGTGAATATTTTACTGTTATTTAGTTTTTTTGTTATAACAAGAGTTAAAAGCAGACGAATGTAGGAAGTTTTGTTAATAATTCATTGACATCGAGAATATAGAAGGCGGGCAGACGACTAAGTGATAATGATATAAATAGTGTGAGAGGAGCAGGAAGCATCAGACAGATAATAATGAAAGAGAATAAAGTTGGCGTGAAGTTAAGTAACGTAGATGTGATAGGCCTAACGTTTTATATGTTAGAGTGAAACTAACAAGAAATACTAGTGCGATAGAAATTGAGAAGATAGTTCGGCTTGTCAACTGAAATTCTAAGGTAATTGAATAGGTCTAAGTGGGTATTTGACAAGAAGGAGAGAACTACATATATAGTGTTTATGATATATCTATAGTGTTGAAGAATTTACTGTACATGCGTTAACTTGTTCTGAATATATATATTATTTTGAAAACAAGTGAAGTGCGTGCTGTTTATTCATTTTTGAATTTATCCCTAACAAGTCACAGACACCTAACTGTAGAAAAATCCCAAGTCCAACAACAACATAGAATATATGTATACTATTAAGAAATATTACCAAAAGCCTTTCTATTTGACAATTGGCAAAAGGGAAAGTTATATATTTATATATATATATCATTTTAAATTCTGACACATTAAGAAAAGATTGACCACAATATGTAACTGTCCCAACTCCCAAGTGATACTAAAATAATCTTAAGTGGCCTCTTTGATTAGTCTTTTTATTTCTATATATGGCCTGTGGGAACTTCACTTTGAAAAATAATGTTCAGTTAATTAATAATGCCCTTTGCATAACTTATAAACTCAGACAAAATGTTCATGTTCAGATCCTATAACTGGGAAAGAACAAGACTGTTGGTATGTGTATGATCTTCAAAGATAGGTGTCGTGTAATTTAATTGCAATACAAGCTACTGATCAAGTAATCTAACCACATATTACTTCAAGTACAACCATATGGTCTGACCTGGCGCCAGAATTTTATGTATTTTACAGTCTGAAATTCCTTTAAAAGTTCTTTCCGTTTAGAATTAAAACAAAAATTTATATATATGCTTCTTAGCAGGTCTTTAATGCTGTCAGAGAGGTTTGACTAGCCACTTAAAGCAGTTAGATACTGAATGACTAACCCCCATCAAAGCATTTGTTGTATTACTGCAAATCTAACACGTTTTCTCAGAAACGAACTTAGTTTTCAAGTAATGATACTGTCTTCATATTTTTCATATACATTTGATATAAAGTTCGACATGCATCTTGCTTTTTCAGATACATTACTCTATATTTAAGATGTTTAGGCCTATAAGTATGTTCCTTTAGGTCATCTTTGAACAGAAATGCAACTACAGT